TATGTTACTTATAGATGTTACTTATAAGGCAATTTAGTGTAAGCTGCTTTGTAGATTTATTTTATACTTTATATTTTAACTGTCAAGAAATCTGTTATATTTTGTAGCTATAATATGTTCATATGATAGAAAGGATAAAGGGATTAAAAATTGAATGCTTTTAAAATTTATCTTGTACGACTATAAAAAAATAAGAAAATTTAACGATTTTTATGATTGATATTTTCTCCAAAGTAGCATAGCATATAAGCATATATATTAGAATTTGGTGTACATTAGCATAGAGAACATGATGTATATTATATAATACAATGCTATTGATAAATATTATAGCTTTGATGGTCATAATTATTACTTTTTACAATATATAAATATAGAATGGTCATTAAAAATCAATACACCCAAATATTATAGATTATTTTTAAAAATATGAAGAATGTCGAAAATTTTTGTATATAAAAGACAAGAGATTAATTAATTAAATAACGAAGGAAATAAGTTTCAAGTGTAAAATAATATTTAAAGTTTTACAGTACCTTATTTAAAAATCAATGATTATAAAAAATAAGTTTGATTCATTTAAGTTAAAAAAAAAAAAAAAAACACAGTATAGGAATATTTTCAAACGCATTTATTTTATTTGAGAAATCCTTTGTCGATATATGTAATTAACAAGGACATTATATGGCGCACGCACGTATTCGATAAAAACGCATATTTGAAATTTCCGCGTTAGCAACCATGTCGCTTAAGCAGCACCTGTAGTAGTTACATGGTAAATACTCGTTCTTGGTATCACATCAATCCTATAGTTTATAAAGAGATTATAGTTCTATAAAGCACGTGTAATGAAGATCTATATGTCAACGATGAAATATATGTTTTTAACTCTTTCAATGATTTAATATTAATTAATTTTAAGTAAACAAATATATAGAAATAAACAAAATATAGAACTGTATTGGTCAAACTGTAAAAATGGTACATAAAATGTAAATGTGCAATAATAGACAATATTAATGAATAAAATATTTCTATAAATAAAAGAGAAAGAAAATTATTTTTGAGAAGCAATAATAATGAACTTACAACATAAAATATGGTTTGTAGTGAATTTTTATTATGAAAAATAAAAAACTTGAATGTTAATTCAATTGTAATGTATTTGCCTTGTGCATAAATAAGACATTTTAATGAATATTATGTTAACTATAAATTAAATTTTTCAGCATGATATCAGACTTTTTTTATCCCAATATGGGTGGTGTCGAAGAGCATATATTTAATTTATCACAATGTTTGTTAGAAAGAGGACATAAGGTTGTAGTATTAACGCATTCATATAAAAATCGAATTGGAATACGTTATATGACCAATGGATTAAAAGTATAGCCTCATATGTATAAGATATTGGCAAATTTCTTATTTCTGGGAATCTATTTAATCTTTATTCTTTTATTTTACATTAAAGGTATATTATATTCCAGTCAGAGTATTTTACAATCAATGTATTTTACCAACGATGATATGTTCTATTCCTCTCATTCGGTATATACTAATTAGAGAAGAAATAGAGATAATACATGGGCACTCCGCATTTTCTGCTTTAGCGCACGAAGGAATGTTAATTGGCAGATTAATGGGGTTGAAGGTAATGTGTAAATTTATTATAGCGATATATAATAACATTTATTTAATATTGAACTTGAGAAATATGAACTTATTGAAATATATTAAATAAATAAATTTATATTTTGTGTGTATATTTTGTTTTCCAGACAGTTTTCACAGATCATTCATTGTTTGGTTTTGCAGATGCATCTGCTATTTTAACAAATAAATTTTTAGAAATTTCTTTAGCAGATTGTGATCATTGTATATGCGTATCACATATAGGAAAAGAAAATACTGTTTTGCGAGCAAAGGTTCATAAAGAAAAAGTATCCGTTATTCCGAATGCTGTAGATGCTATGCTTTTTACACCCAATATTAACAAACGAAGTAAAGAATTCAGTAAGTTACTTTGATTGTTACTTCATTATAAAAAATCTAAATAATTAATTATAACCATATGATTATACATTCTTATACGTACTTTTAAAATGATATAATATAAAATCTCATTGTTTTTGCAGTTACTATAGTAGTAGTATCACGATTAGTTTATCGTAAAGGAGTTGATCTCTTAGCCCATATAATACCTGAAATATGTTCACGACATAATAATGTGAACTTCTTAATTGGGGGAGATGGTCCAAAACGATGGCTTATAGAAGAAATACGAGAACGAAATTTATTACAGCACAGAGTTACATTGCTTGGAAGTTTGGAACATGCTCAAGTTAAACACGTTTTGAATAAAGGTCATATATTTTTAAATACTAGTCTCACAGAAGCTTATTGCATGGCAATCGTTGAAGCTGCCTCTTGTGGGTATGCATTTTCTAAAGCTGTGCTTAAAAACTATATATAAAAGCATTGATTTTATATTAATTTTTGTCTTTTTAGTTTACAAGTTGTATCTACTAAAGTTGGAGGAATACCTGAAGTATTACCACCAGATTTAATTTATTTGGTGGAACCAACAGTACCAGATCTTATTAAAGGATTAGAGCAAGCTATGTTAGACTATGTGACAGGAAATATTAGTCCTCCGTATGAAGTGCATAGAAGAATAAGTTTATTTTATAATTGGTTTAACATTACTAAAAGAACTGAAATTGTTTACGATTTAGTCTCTAATGAAGCAAAGAAAAATTTAGGTCAACAATTAATAAGTTACATTCAGAGCGGTGTATTACCATATCTGTTAGTGGTATCTCTATGCTACATTATATTAAAAGTTTTAGAATGCATGGTTCCCAGAAAGGTAAACTATAAGATTTTATTTTATATTTATACTTATATACAACTCTAGATTGACATAATATATTTTCAGTATATTGACATTGTAAAGGATTATAAAGGAAATCATATAGCATCTTCAAAGGAGAAAAAATGGTAAACAAAAGGAAATATTTTTATATGTATTGACGAGAAAATGTAACAAAATTAAATGAAAGAAATTTTCAAGGAAAAAAATTATACGTAATTTTGTAAATCTGCCTTAGGGTGTACGTGCGCGCCTGCCTGTATAATGTTTTTAATAAATTTCTCCTATTTTATAGAAAAAAGTATTAAATTATCCATCTCTCATTTGGAGAAGGTATAAGTATATAGAAATTAATGATTCATTTACGAAGTTATTTGTTTTTTTTTAAGCTATTATTTTTTTTTTGTGTACATTTATTTCTATTACATTTAATAGTTAAATATACCTTCCACACTTAATATGTGCTAAATTTAAATGCTGTTTTAAATCATACATTATTGTTTAAAATGTTTGTAAAATAAATCCAAAATGTTATGAATTAAAAATATCAATATATAGTATAGATGTTACTATAAATAATGTTTAAAGAAAAGGAATTTGAATTTTATATATGTTTTTATATTTTTTTTTCTTATCAGTAAAAGATGATGCAGCAACAGAATTCTTATTTACATTCAATTAATATGTAGATTTCTAATTTTTATTTTTTAATTTCTTTTTCTATTATTTTTTAGATCTAAATAAAATTATATGAAAAGCTAGTATATATCTTCGAGAATAACAATTATTTTAATCATATATAATATATAGAACAAATAATCAAAAAACTCTATCGAATTGAAAATATAGTAATATTTATTTTAATATATTGTCCGTTAGATACAATAATAATATTGATACAATATCAATTATCTGTTTCTGCCTAATCATCATTGTATTACTGTACATTTTTTTTATTTATACATAAATCTTTCATATAAGAGCCAATGGAACTCTCCTAAAATTATTTTATACAAATTCTACGAGAAAACCAATGAACCTTAATAAACAATCATTATAATATAAGCGGTCAAATCTGTCGTAACATTCCGCGCAAGGGATAGAGTATCCGTGTGCCATTTTATTTATCTATAAGTTCAATTAGAAACAAAAAGTTGAAATGTCTAAAAATATTTATGCATCATGAAATCAGATAGGTGATTTTTTAAGCATAATATTTATGGTTATAGATAAAACTTTACTAAAGTTTTACTTAATGTAGTAATTCAATTCTGCAACGATTCCATAATGCTAGACATTTAATTGAAAATAAAAAATACAAAATTAATGTTGATAAGATTCAGATTTAGACATGCATTATTTTCAGTAATTGTCATTATTATTATTATTATTATTATTATTATTATTATTATTATTATTATTATTATTATTATTGTATATCTTGCATTTTCATATGTACAATATCTGCATTATAGTTACAAATACAAGTAATTACTTTTTAAAACTTATTAAATAATAAAAAAATTTGTGTTCTGCAGATAATACGAAGTAATGCATCTACCTTTCTTGAGGGGGAAAAAAAGAAGAGAAGAAAGGTATATTTATAAACATAATATAAGTTACTATTATACAGGTTAGTATGTGAAGCATAGCAAGAGCAATCTTGCTTGCAACTTTTCATTCATCATTTATTATTTGGAAACAATGTAATATTACATATAACATTTTCTTATGGATCATAGTATAGTTTATATTTATTACCATACGAAAGATTTGTTTACTGCAGAAAAAGTGCGATTTACTGTTTTCTAAATGGTTTATGAAATATAATATAAAGCAGAATTTATATGATATTTGCTAGAAAGTAAGAAATCCATAGGATTCATATATACGACATGCTCGATTGCTTAACACTGATGCACATTATGCTGTGCTCTGTACAATGATGAAATATATATATATATATATCCATGACTTTAAATAAGTTTTAACAATGTTAAATTTACCGTTTAATACCTTTAAAAGCACGTATTGCTATCGACTGTGATGTTTCTATGTATACAAGTTATAGATTGACATAAATTCTTTGTATTTTATCTATGTACTAAAATGATAGTGATGAAATTTTATAAAATTTTGTCAATGTTAGATGTCGCATATCTAAAGCAAAACATTTTCAGATTATTTAATAAATTGTTGTTAAACAGTATATACAATGGGTATAATTAGATACAGAATCTATCTTTAATCGAATAAAGAAATAATAATGCTACGCCATACAAGTTCATAAGGTTGCTATTATGGAAAATAAAATGTATTAAAACTTTTTCTAGTAGATGATTCTATTCAATGACAGAAGAATTGTTTGTGTTTCATAAATTTGTTATTATATTCACAATAGAATCTTTCAAACCTTTAGTATGACCTACAATAAATAAATAACGAACCATTTGATGAATTGAGTGTTGCACAATTTCCTCAATTTTAGTTGTAATTGCACGGAATGCGCTTAAACGTCTTCTCCATAATCGCGATCTCCCACATTTATACGATCAGGTGCCGCAGTTACGCTAAAGCCAAGAATCCTATTGTCTACTTTAAACATTTTTCCTTTCTTGGGTTTCTTAGACTTTCCCTATATAAACGAATCGTATACAACAATTATTTTGAATGTCTTAATGTTTTAATAATAAGCCAAATGTTTTTCAGTAATACCTTAACTTCCTGGAATTCGGTAGGAGCATTTGGGTTTACGGCTGGTGCAGGTTTACACAAATTATCTACCTGCGCTTGAGGCCTCTGCGCCGAACGCCACTTACTTCTCTTTTCTAAAAATTGCTTTGCAAATTCTGTGCTTTGTTTATTATCCCCAAGGTATACACGTACATATTCTTTTACTTCGTATGGTGATTCAATATCTCGTAAAAATCCAACAAATGTAGGTACTAAATAGGCAAATTATGAATACAGAGATAAATAAAAATTACAAAATTATTAGTTACAATATAAATGAACTACTTACTGTCAACAGAAGCTTGTATACCACTCAAAGCCTTGTTGCACCACTGTGTAAAGTCGTCAAGCTTGGCAGTGTTTTGTTCGAATAATTTTTTTACTAGTTCTTCTTCTTTTTTTACTTTATTTTTAGTTGATTTATTATTCTGTTGTTGCTGTTGCTGTTGTTGAGGCTGTTGGTTAGAAGTAGATTTTGTTGTTGCTGGTCTTGTCGTCTGTTTAGTAGTAAGAGACGATCTTTGTATAGTTGTAGGATCATCCCAAAAACCGCTAGTATTATTAGTATTAGTGGACCAAGCTTGACTATTACTAGATGAACTCGAATTAGTCCAATTCAGACATTGTGAAGCTGTTCCCCATATACCGGCATTAGGAAGGACACTAGTCGATTCTTTTTGTCCTACTTTTTCCTGTCTTTCTTTTTCTTGTTGCTAAAAATTTATTTGCGATATAATATTTTATAATATATCAAATATCTCGAGTTGTTTATTAAAATTATTAGTATTTTACTTACCTTATGTTTTACATATTTTTATATACGTTTTATATAAATGACCATTACGATACAATGCAAAATAATATATACCATTTCATTAATAATTATTTTCCACAACAATTATTAAAATGTATTTTTGCAATATTGAAAAAAAAAAAAAAATATATGTATATGTGTTTACCTTAGTAATACGTTCTTGCTCTTCTTGTTGAATTTGTGTAAGACTTTTTACTTGAAGAGGTTTATTAGAAGATGTAGCTTTTTCTGCCCATTTAAATTGTAAACGTTTCGACGAATCTGCCGCTGCTGCTTCTTGTACTGCCTCTACAGCTTTTTGTTGTGCTAATTGTTGTTGCATTAATTGCTGATATCGTTGCTCTTCCTATAATTATTAAAATTATTAGCAAAAAAGTATTAATAAAATTGAAGTATCAACATTATTGATAAAGAATAAATTACTGCTTTTTTCTCTCGTTCTAGCCTCTGAATTTCTGCAAGTGAAGCATGAGTTGTAGGAGCAGGCGTACGAGGTGCCTGAGCCCATGGTGCTTTACTTCTTTCTTGAAGTTTACGAAGAGCTTCTGCTTCTCGACGCCTTTGTTCGGTACGTCGTGCCTGTTCTTCAGCCTCGAGCAGCTTGCGTGCTTCTGCTTCTTTCCTGAAATATAACAATATAATTAAATTAGAATACTTAATAGGAAACAAATTATATATAAAATCAATAATTTATATATAAGATAAAGATATACTTGATTCTTTCTTCTTCTTGTTTTCTTTGTTCCTCTTCTAATTTTTTCTTTTTCTCTTCTTCTTTCTTATGTTTTTCTTCTTGCTTTTTAATCTCTTCTCGTCTTCTTTTTTCTTCTTCTTGCTTCCTTTTAATATTTTCCTCTTCCTGTTTTCGTTTTTCTTCCTCTCTTTTCTTCTTCTCTTCTTCTTTACGTTTTTTCTCTTCCTTTTTCTTTTGTTCTTCTTCTTGTTTCCGCTTTTCTTCTTCTTTACGTTTCTTTTCCTCTTCCTTCTTTTTCCTTTCCTCTTCTTCTTTTCGTTTTGCCTCTTCTGCTTGTCTAACTTGTTCTTCTTCCTGCTTTCTTTTAGCTTTCTCTTTTTCAGCTTGTCTTTGTAATTCTTCTTGTTTTCTCAATTCTTCTTTCTTTCTTTGTTCTTGCAACTTAAGATTCTGTTCTTCCTAAAAACAAATAAATACACATTTAATTGTATTGATTATACATTAATAAAAGTTACTCTATATTTAATACAAGTATAGTCCTCGTTTTTCTTAGTTGGCCACCGAGGGGAGAAACAGGGGCGATTATCTTCACTTATGACAAACTCTCCATGCAGGGGTTAAATCGTTGCAAATGGATTATACTTACTAATATTTGTTGTTCCGTTTTTATTTCTTTAGCATGTAAATTCCAAAGTGTGGTAGGTAATTGTCCAGGCGGTACTGCAGGTATAGGTCCTACCTATGATACAAGTATTATGAATAAAATTGTATAAATTAAGTGTAATATTTAGAAGTACAAAAACATACCTGTGTCAACCAATTTTGAGCATTAAATTGTGGAGTTATTTGTGGAGGTGAATGTGGCCAAACAGTATCAATATGAGATGTTTGCGGATGTCCAGTTGCATTAACATTAAGCTGTCGTAACAATGATTTTATAGGATTATCTTCTTGAGACGAAGCAGAATTTAAATTTGGTTGTGAAATTGTAGGTACATTTTGAATGCCGCCCATTTGTTGAATAAGTTGTTGTATAGGATCTATCTGGCCAGGATGTCCTGCAGTACCGGTTTGTGAACTAGATGGTAGATGAGGTTCGGGCTGTACCTTTGCCTGTTGTAGTTACAATACCATGCAAATATTGTATTCATATAACATATATACAAACGTATATTAATAAAAATGTTACTAACCTGTTGCATTTGATTAAATAATTGTATAACAGGATTTGACGGTGATGGTGTAAGATGAGGCACAAATGGATTAGCAGATATTGACATATCTGGTATTTCAGAATCCTGAATAACATATTGGAGTATTAATTGGTTCTGTTCAATAGGACTTAGAGTTGCCCAATGTTCAGATTGAGAAAGTTTAGCTATAGCTGATGTTCTCATTTGTCTTAATAATAATTGTTGATTTTGTAATAAACGCATATGTTGATATTGAAGTAAAAGTAAAGGATCTTCTATCCCAGACTTTGGTAGAGTAGTAGCAGCTATACCAGCAGGTACTGTACTAGGAACAGATGGTATTACTGGTTCGGACAACTGAAAACATATTTCAATAACTTAACAAATTGAAGATGAAGAATCTTGTTTTCTTTGAAGTACTTAATAAATAATGATTATGTATATATCTAATGAGAAAATTACTTGATTAAATAATATGCATTGTCTTATAATTTATTATTAGATGATCATACAAATTGTCATTTAGTGATATTAAATCTTATTATTTGAAGTATAAGAAAAAAGTTAAGCACCTTGATAATAAAATTTTACAAGATTCTAAAAATGATGTTAATCGCTTTGGCCTGTGGATAGTTCATACAATTACTATGCGCATTAAACGCACAAAACGCATAAAAATATATATACACAAGATACTTCGTTTAAAATATAATAGTCCAAAATATTAAAGAAAAAATTGTTTACCTTTAAGGGAGGAATGGATGGCCCCGGAATAAATGGCACTCTCCCGCAAATTTTCATTAACTCCCCTAAAGTAGTATATCTCTCATCGCAAGTCCTTCTTACCATTAATCCAGCAGTAAAATATCCAGCTTTGCACCATTCTGCCATTTCACTTGCTAAAAATGGACCCTGTACTTCACCTTGTGGATCACGATAAAACCATTTTTCTTGCACATTCGAAGATGTTTGTTGATTGCTCATAGATGAAGATATAGTTGCCGCTTTTTCTCTATGGCTTTCTTCATCGGCCATCAATGTGGCCACTAGAGCATCAGCTTTTTCCTTCATTCTATCTAGATCATCTTCTGACTTTTTTACATTATGTATTATTGATTCATGCGCAACCTTTTGTGATTCTGCTTGTATGGATAATTGTCTATTTGTAGTAGACGCTATTATATCCTTATCAACTGCTAATTCTACAGTTCCTCTGTCATGTATCACACTTGAACATTTATTATCTGTATCATTTGATGGAGTTTTATCGCTTTCGATATTATTAGTATTTACATTTGTCACTAATGATATAGTAAGAGAAGCAGACGAAGATGTAGATGATAAACTTTTTGCGGAAGTATTGCTAGATGTTGAAAGAACTGCTTTATTTGGAGAATTACAAACGTCTCTTTCTGTAGTGTTATCTTTTTCTTCTATTAAACGAACAGATTTGGATTTTTCTCTATGCTTTGTACCAGTACAATCATTTATATGACGATTTTCTACTTGTCCCTGGCCTGTGCCATATGACACAGATTTGTTATTAGATTTTGATGTACCGGAAGCATTTCCTTCGGAGACACGTCGAGTCCTTAACTCTTGAGAATTTCTTACGTTAATAATTCCTTCATCATCATCATCGGAATACATTCCTCCATGAAATGCTCCTGAAGCATCAAATCGCCCTCCGCTTTCGCTAGGATTTTCAGTTGCCCTAATATACGTATATATATATATAAATGACACTTTAATAAGATTTCACATTTCAAGAAGAGATTTAACATTATTACCAATCGAATACTAGAAAATGTAATATAAATGCATAATAAATTTTGGAAAAATTACCATTCTGGAAGATTATCATGATTATCATGATGATTAGATTCCCATGTACGTGCCGTACGAGGTGGAGGAAGATGGTTCGTTTCGTGAGGAGATCTATGATTCCCACGAAATTCCCATCGTCCACCAACATTTCGACTTTCTTCGTTATCACCTTCATTTCTATCCAGCCTGTCCCTATCTATACTACCTCCTTCGCGCCAACTATTTCTACCTATATGAACGATATATAAATAAATATAATTCTACAATTTGCTGAAATAGAATAAATAAGGTTTACTTACCCCACTTACGCCAACCCTCATCATCTTCTCCACCATTTCTGTATCGTCGCCAATTACTTTCCATAAGAGAACTTCCACTAGTCCCACGAGATAATTCTTTTCTTGGACTAGTAGAACCATTCCATTCAATTGGATCCGAAGATCCATTTCTTTCTGACCAGCCACGTTCACTTTGAGATCTTTCAAATGGTCGATTTCTTGCCTAAATAATAGTATAGAACAATATAACATGTTTACTTTTATCAGAGCTTAAAAGAATACTTCTGTTTTTTAAAAGAGAGATATTACATGTTTTTTAGAGATATTACATACTTGAAAAGATTGGCCTGAATCGATGCGAATTACTTCACTAGGATCCTCGAAACCAACTGCTCTAGAATAATGAGAATATAAACCGCCTCTTCCATTTCTACTTCTTCCTCCACGATCTACACTTCCACCTCCTCTTCCACGGCCTCCAATATTAGTCACACCTCCATTCCATAAACGCTAAATATTTACATTATTTCAATATTATATATATATATA